GTGTGTGTGTGTGTGTGTGTGTGTGTGTGTGTGTGTGTGTGTGAAACACTCATGAAACAGTTGATCTGTTAGGGCCCAACCAGAATCCTGATTGGTACTCGTTAGGGTTTTCTATCCACACCAGTGCAGTCTGGACGAGAATACCTTTTGGGAAGCAAAGCTGTGTGAAATGTAATGGAAAAATGGGGTCCACTAGCATGATTGTGGGAAAATTCGACTACCAGTCCTTCATCATCTTAAACAAAAGAGGATGAATACATCACATGTTTATGATCTACTAGTAGTCTCGAAAACCTACAGATACACGAAAAAAAACAAATTTCCTACCGTTGTTCGTCTTATTCGTGACGTTGTTAGCTTTGTTGCTTTCTATCGACTACATACTTTTTCGCTTGGCCGTGAAATCTCCATATTCTACAAAAGTTGGTATTTCGGACCACCCCGTCTGGTGACCTGTCGCTACTGTGTTAAGTCACCTCCGATTTCCGGACCCACAAACCGTTGCAGACGGTTTTGTCTTCTGCTGAGCTCTTATGGCCGAGTCGACATGTCTCCACATGTGACACTACCCCACGTTCACAATGCCTTAAAACAACCAGATCTACAGAGAAAATTACAAGATTCTCTAAAATAAGGCATGAACATTATCCTGGCGTTCCATTTTCGCAGCAATTTGTTCATCTTTTTTTAAAACTGACAAGACTTTAGTATCAGGAACCTGGATGGAGAATTGTCCGTTTCCCTGTTTTGCCCTAAGCAATTGCTTTCTCTCGTCTTATTTCTAAATTTGGTGAACTTTTGCCAGTCAATTTTAACAGATAATTTTTTCTACCACAAGTAGGCTATCAAGACTGTCAGTAGTTTGAATATGAGAGCTATATTCAGTCTATTCTACTCAGCTGATTGTGGGAATATTCAACTGTCAGTCCTTCATCGCATTAAATGAAATAGGCAGATTTCATTTCCAATGGATAAGGGTTATAGACGAAAATTTTTCTTAGCCTTTCTAGCTTTTGTTCCTGACAATTTACTTTTGTTGAGATGAGATGAGATGCAATTAGATGAGAGATGAGAAGAGAACAGATGAGTTGAGATTATATCTTTAGACGCAAACTTACTGACATGGTCCTCATAACCACTCCATTTGAACGCCATAATAATGGTTA